AGCAAGTGCCAAATCGTATATGACACGATTTATTAATTATTGTTTACGTTTTTTCTGTTTTGGTTGTTTTAGGGGATAGGGAGGTGATGAGTAGGGGAACGATGAAAAGGGGAGAAGGTGGATGGAGTGAAGGAGAGAAGGTATGAGGAGGAGGAGGAACAGGAGAGGTGATGGTAGTAGGCGGGCCCGGGGAGGAGCCAAGAGAGGAGGAGAGAGAGAGGCGAGCAGCGGGAGGTAATGGAGATCGAATGAATGAGTCATGAGGAGAGTACGGGGCACGAGGAGAGCAGGAAGAGCTGAGGAGAAGTGATGGAAAGGGAGGGAGAAGGAGGAGCAGAGGAGGGGGAGGATGCTGAGAAGGTATGGGAGTAGGGGAGGAGTTTGAGAAGGTGATGGAGAGCGAATGAAGGTCATGAAGGAGTAGGGGCAGAAAGGAGAGGAGGGGGAGAAGGTGATGGATAAGGGAGCAGGAGGGAGGAAAGGTGATGGAGTAGAGGGAGGAGGAGGAGGGAGGTAGGGGGAGAGAGCGAGGAGAAGGTGATAGAGATCGCAATGAGGTCATGGAAGGAGTACGGGGCAGGGAAAGGAGGAGGAGGGGGAGAAGGTAGAAGGGAGATTAAGGGAGGTAGGAGGAGAGAGGGAGAAAGGTGATGAGTAAGGGAGGAGGGAGGGAGGAGGGGAGAAAGTGATGAGTAGGTGGAGGAGGAGGAGGAGAAGTGATGGATAGGGGAAGGAGGACCAGGAGGAAAAGGGGAGGAGGAGGAGGGCAGAAGTGATGATAAGGGGGATGAGGAGAAGAAAGGAGGAGGCGGGGAGAGGAGGAGGCGGAGAAGGTGGATGTAGAATCTGAGATGAAGAAGGTCTGGAGGAGTAGGGCAGGAGGCAAGGAGGAGGAAGGGGGGAGAAGGTGATGGGAAGTAGGGAGAAGGGGGAGGAGTGGGAGGAGGAGGAGGCGGGGAGAAGGTGAGGAGTAGAGAGCAGGAAGAGGGGAAGAGGGGAGAGCGGAGAAGGTGATGAGATCAGACTAGAAGTTCATGGAGAGTAGGGGCAGGAGGTAGAGGAGAGGAAGATGAGGCGAAAGTATGGGAGTAGATGAGGAGGAGGATGGAGATAAAGGAGGAGGAGAGCAGGAGGTGGAGAAGAATAAGAGCAGGCCGGAGAGAGGAGGAGCGAAGAGAAGGATGGAGATCGAATGAAGACAGTCATGGAGGAGTAGGGGCGTAGGAGAGGCAGGAGAGGAGGAGGATGGAGGAGGAGGATGAGGGGACACAGGTGATGGGAGTAGGGGAAGGAGGAGCGGGAGAAGTGATTGAGTAGGGAGGTGAGGAGGGGAGGGAGGGCGAGAGAAGTTGAGTAGGGAGGCAGGAGGGGAGAAGGGGAGGAGCGAGAACAGTGAGATGAGATCGAATGAAGATTCGTCATGGGAGGAGGAGTAGGGGCAGATGAGGTAGGGGGAGAGCGAGAATGGTGAAGAGATCGAATGAAGTCAATGGAGGAGTAGGGCAAGGGATAAAGGAGGAGGAGGGGCAGAAGGTGAGGAGTAAGGGGAAGAAGGAGGAGGCAGGGGAGAAGGTGATGGAGTAGGGGAGGAGGAGGAGGAGGGGAGAAAGTGATGGAGTAGGGTGGAGAGGAGGAGGGTAGACGGATGGAGTAGGGAAGGAAGAGAGGATAGAAGGGAGCGAGGAGGAGGAGGGCAGAAGTTGATGGACGTAGGGGATAGGAGGAGGGAGGAGGGGAGGAAGGAAAAGAGCGGAAAAGGGATGGACCTGTACAATGCTGAAGAGAAAGTAAATACTGATGTAAGAATCCGAATGAAGAAGGTCATTGGAAGGAGGGGGCAGGAGCAGGAGAAAGGGGGGGGAAAGTGATGGAGTAGGGAGAGACGGGGGGATTGGAGGAAGGGAGGCAGGAGGGGAGAAGGTATGAAGTAGAGTAGAGGAGGAGGGAAGAGGGGGAGAAGCGGAGAAGAGGGGAGGGATGGAGATCGAACTAAAGGTATGAGGAGTAGGCAGCAGGAGGAGGAGGAGGAGAGGAAGGAGGAGGAGAAAGTGATGGAGTAGATGAGGAGGTGAGGAATGGAGATAAGGAGGAGGAGGAGCAGTCGGGAGAGAAGGTGATTAAGAGTAGGGAGGAGGAGGATGAGCGGAAGAAAAGTGATGCGAGATCGAAGAAGACGGTCATGGATGGAGTAGGTGCCAGGCAGAGGAGGGAGTGAGGCCGGAGAGCGGAGGAGTGAGCAGCGGACAAAAGGTGATGAGTATGGAGGTAGGAGGAGGGGAGAAGGTGATGGAGTAGGAGGAGAGTGAGGGAGGGGGAGAGACAAGTTGAGTAGGGGGAGGAGGAGGAGAAGGGGAGGAGCCGGAGAAGGTGATGGCAGATGCGATGAAGCACGGTCAATGGAGGAGGAGTAGCGGGCCAGGATGAGGAGGAGGAGGAGGAAGAAGGTATGGACGTACGCGGGAGGAGGAAGGAAAGAGGAAAGGTGATGGAGTAAGGGAGAAGAGTAGGGAGGAGGGAAGAGGCAGGAGAGGAGAAGGTGAAGAGGGGGAAGGAGGGAGGAAGGAGAGGAAGGAAGGAGAATGTGATGGAGATCGAATGAAGACAGTCATAAAGAGGTTAAAAAAAGAGAGGAGGAGAGGGTAAGGAAGAGGAGGAACGAGAAGAATGAGAGTGAGGGGAGGAAGGGAGGAGAGGAGGCAGGGGAAGAGTGAGGAGGAGGAGGAGGAAGAGAGGAGGAGGAGGAGGGGAGAAGGTGATGGAGTAGGGGGAGGAGGAAGAGGGACAGGAGGAGTAGGAGGCAGGAGGAGGAGGAGGAGGAGGGGAGAAGGTGTTGGAGTAGGTGGTGGTGGAGAAGGAGGAGGAGGAGGGGAGACGGTGTTGGAGTAGGTGGTGGAGGAGGAGGAGGAGGAGGAGGCAGAAGAGGCAGAGGAGGAGGAGTAGGAGGGGGATAGTTGAATTATTCACATTCGTTAGTAACAAGTTTAGTTTCAACTAGGGTCCCTGTATACAGAGTTGCGCCAACTCAGGATTTGACGCCATTTTGTTTCCAAATGGATCCTCACCGCTGCCGCGTAAGTACAGCGCTGTATGGATACGCTGTACAATGGTCCGTATAGTAATTAATTAGACTAATCGTGCTTCAATAAACTCAAAATTTACAGAGATTATAGCTAAGACATGTGTCTATGTGTATCTAGATTTCTAGAAATGTAACTCAAATCGTTCGCGCCATATATGATAATTTAATTGTACACTTTCTTACGGCCATAGCCGTGCGTATCCATTTGGAAACAACATGTCGTCCAGCGACCACGTGACCGATTTTTTCCGACTCGTCATGGCGCAACTCTCTGTATATAGGGACCCTAGTTTCAACTATAGTAGCCAATAGAATAAACAATGCTGACTGCAATGTGTCTACTAGCTGAAACTTGCTGTATGTACTGTAGCTAATGCAGTGCATTGATTCAATGGTAACTTACCTTGGTCAGATATAGTTGTACAAGACAGCAAATTTTAACCAGTACGTACGTATTAATGGCTATAGCATCACAAATCAGGAATAAACAGAGAATAAACACATGTTGTTATCTACTCCTGATAATGTGAATAATTCAACTATCCCCCTCCTACTCCTCCTCCTCCCCCTACTCCATCACCTTCTCCCCTCCTCCTCCTCCATGACCGTCTTCATTCGATCTCCATCACCTTCTCCGCTCCTCCTCCGCCTACTCCATCACCTTCTCCCCCCCTCCTCCTCCCCCTACTTCATCACCTCCTCCTCCCCCTACTCCATCACCTTCTCTCCTCCTCTTCCTCCTGCCCCCTACTCCTCCTCCATGACCATCTTCATTCGATCTCCATCACCTTCTCCGCTCCTCCTCCTCCTCCCCCTACTCCATCACCTTCTCCCCTCCTTCTCCCCCTCTTCCCCTCCTCCTCCTCCTCCCCCTACTCCATCACCTTCTCCCCTCCTCCTCCCCCTACTCCATCACCTTTTCCCCTCCTCCTCCTCTCCTCCTCTTGCCCCTACTCCTCCTCCATGACCTTCTCCGCTCCTCCTCCTCCTCCTGCCCCCTACTCCTCCTCCTCCTCCTGTCCCCTACTCCTCCTCCATGACCTTCTTCATTCGATCTCCATCATCTTCTCCGCTCCTTCTCCTCCCCTCCTCCTCCTCCTCCTGCCCCTACTCCTCCTCCATGACCGTCTTCATTCGATATCCATCTCAGTGGCAGGTAGGCTTACGTTTATGTAAACACAGGGTACATATCTGGGTACAAGATACAGGTCTGGTACACAATTGTGTATACATATACGTACCTCGGGTACATATCTGTAGTACCTGATACGACAACGACCCTTTCAGCTTTACGCTGTGCTGTGCACGTATGATTATTGCTGCTCCTACAACTACTTACTACTACTGCCTGTGTGTAGACCAATAAATTGTGCCCTAAAAAATTTTATATTCTGATGTTATTTTAGACCCTAAAATAACATCAGAATAAAAAAAATTTTTAGGGCACAATTTATTGGTCTATCCTGTGTGGTGATGCTGTCCTGATTGCATGCAGCATATTGGTTTGAGGAAGTGCTAAACAATTTTAGTTACTAAGTTGACACGACATCTACTGCAGTGCATGCTAATATTCTTCTTACGTTTCCTTTGAAGAGACCTCCTATAGAGACGTTTTCAATCTGTGCACATTCCTTGAAAGTTGAAGTTATGAGCGCACCAACCCATATCCCAAATAATAAAGTTCAGATAAAGAAGCATTGGCGTGTGCAAACACAGTGCAGGTTGTCTTCCTGCATCATCCCAATAATAATTTACCTGAACTTTCCACAATACATGCCAGATAATAGCATGGCAGGCAAACCCAAACGATTAGAAATATTACGGGTGCACACTGCACACACCTTATACTTCGTGGCAAAGGGAGCAACATTCTGGTACGATTCTAGAAACGGTATCCGACCATGAGCTAAAAATATTCAAGTTCTTTTTGCACTCATAGATGGGCATTTATTTTTTTTCCTCACCTGAAATCATTGACAAATCAAACGACACACTAATATTCGGCAATGCAGTTTCACACACCAAGAAATAAACCCAAAAACTGAAATAGTCCTAGGTACACAAAAGGCTGCCAGCACAGGTCATGTGATATGCATGATACACACAATGCAGAGAATTGCATGGACAAAATGTAGACTTTTAGATGATAACCTGGCTATAGTACAATGAGCTGCTGGCACACAACTACTAGACTGAACACTAAAATGTTTACAGGAAATACTGTAATACTATAAGTTAATTAGTAATTTAGTATGTCCGCAATATCACCAATTTTGCACGTGACTCTAGATAGAAACTAGCGCCCGAAATTCGACCCGAACATGATGTAACAATTAAGTTTCAACCCTGCTGTATTTTTCAGATAAAACCGCATGATTCAATAACTGTACTTTTACGTGACTTAGACAGCTTGTATGTCTACCAAACAATTGCCAGTGTACCATAACAGCATGATAATAATAATCATGCTTTTAACACAGGAATCTAGTGATTCCTATCACCGTATTCTTGCTCCTCACCGAAGCTTGGGCATTGTTACACATCTACCCACGCTCGCAAGGACCTTACTTTGTCCATGCTAACACTGAAAGCCCGGTGCCCACCAACGCAAATCCAGAAGAATCGCTCTCGAAAAGGCAATACACACACGTGTTTCTAATTTCGTGCGTCGAGGCAATTCAACTTTAGTTGATGATACTTTGCAAACCATTTGCACATTATGACATGTCATCCACATCGGGGTTGAACCAATGTGTACACTGCCACACATTTAGCCACCCTGCCACGTTCGCGTAGCTCTGACCATCAACTTGACCCCTCCTTGCTTCGTCCCCTGCTACTGTCTGCAGGCAAATATAATAGACTCGACAGCGAAGAACCAACACTTCGCGCTTCACCGTCCACGTGGCATGCACCGCCGTTTGCCTTCACCTCCTCTTTGCGGTCTGCCCCTGCAGCTTCCTCTGCGGCTTCCTCTCGCACCTCCTCTCGGCCCTCGCCGCGACCGCGGCCGTCTTCACGTGGGTGTAGTTGTGGTCGACGTGCAGATGGTCCGAGCGCGAGCGCACGATCGGCGCCACACCCATGCCGGCACGGTTCAACTCCTGGTTGCTGCTGTAGTTGTGCTCCGTCAATCGAATGTCCGGCCACAGGTAGGGGGCGCCGCCGTGCCGGCGCTCGGCGACGGCGCGGTGCGGCGGAAGCGCGAGGATCGCCTGCAGCGAGCGGCTGTAGCAGTGGTCCTCGCCGACGACCATCGAGTTCCAGATGGAGTCGCCGCACGCATAGCTGTGGTCGCTGCGCGCGTCTGGGCTCGCCACCGCGCCCTGCGTGAAGTTCATCTCAATGTCGGACACCGCGCTCCAGCTGTAGTTGTGGTCGGACGCCTCGTCGTAGGCCGCGTGCCCACCGTCGCCGCCCTTCTCCCCCTCCTCGACGGCGATCTCCATCGGCTGGTCGCAGCGCCCTCTGCAGTGTGTGCGCTCGGCGCCGAGGCACAGCTCGTTGCCGATGTCGCCCATGTCTTCCAGGCCGACGGGAATGCTCCAGTTGCGCTCGGCGTGCGCGTCCTGCAGCAGCGTGTACGTGTGGTCGGGGATGGAAAACGGAAGCAGCGCGGCGGCGACGCCCGCCATGCGCCCGTGCCACTCCTCAAACATGGCGCCCCCGCCTGGCCGACGCTACCTTGCTTCTAGGCGTAGGCGATCCGCGCCGATTCGCAGCGAGACGTGAGATGACGCGCCGCACTACGCTTCTACACGACTCTTCTGCATTCACAGCTCACACGTACGGGTCATTCTTGCCGATCGCAATTGCGTTTACCACTAAACACTTTATCCGACATGACAATATATGCATTTATCTGCATGCCAGCACACGTGCTCACACACACCACAGACGCAGTTTTTAGTGCAGGCAGTACTTTTACCCTAAGTCAATTCAGGAAAGATCTTTCCACGAGATGTTACACTGATTGCTGCATGCCGGTTTTGTCGATGGCCCGGAATTACTGACCTATAGATAGTGAGCTGAGCTTATCTGTGATGTTAGTGGCGTCTTCCTCCTTATGATTTTCCTGCTTATCTGCTGGCGGTTCACTCTCTTCTTTTTTTTCTGCCGCATTTGTGGCCTCTTCCTTTTTGTCTCCTGTCGCTAGTGCCTCTTCTTTTACTTCTCCTTTCTTTTCTGCCTCTTCAGATTCTTCCTTCAGGTCTCCAACGTGTAGCTTTGCTATCCTTTCACGGATAAAGCTTTTCACTACTTGGTGAGCAGCTTTATTCTCAATAGCCAATGTGGCATCCTTGCCAGCATGCCTGAAACAAAGTAATAAACTAGAAAGGGCAGTTGTTGCCAACTACATGTATCCCCTGTGTTCTCCGCAAGATGTGTAAGTATACGAAGTTTGGTCGCGCTAGGTCAATTAGGGGCCGAGTTATAGAGCAGAAGGGAAATATGATGGTCAAGGTCAAGGTAAAGGTCAAATAAAGGTCGCAGTGACCTGGTTTTGGTATGCTGCTCACCTTCTCCCCAAGATGTGTAAGTATACCAAGTTTGGTAGCGCTAGGTCAATTAGGGGTCGAGTTATAGAGCGGAAGGGAAATTGTCTGCGGCGGCGGCGGCTGGGGAGACATGAAACCATAGTATCCCCGCCGACTTCGTCGTGGGGGATACAATTAATTCCTACTTTGCAAGGAAGTAGTTGCTGAACTAGAAAACAACATGTAAACTCATTTTACGGGATATTAATTTGATGATTTTATTTGTACAAACAATAGGTTTAATTTGGTATAACTGATTGCTAGATGTTACAAAAATAAAATCACCATTAATAAGTATTCTTATGCTCCTACAAATACTCATATTAGTTATTACCTATGTAAATAACTAGTGAGAAAAAGGGTTTCTTCCTGTAATCTATCAAATATTTAAACATTATCTACATTATTATAATAATAAAATATTAAACGAGATCGCAAATCACTATAATACTTAATACTATAATACTTAATACTTAATACTATAATACTTAATAAAAGATATCATGTTTTTTTCAGAAAGAACAATAGTGACAATAATTACAACACTTACAACCGTATAAAAGCTGTCATTACAAATGATCACCAATCATGCATATCAAAACAACCAATAGCAACATTTGTTAATATCGTTCTGTTAGGGGGAATATTAGATAGAAACCATGTGAGAATATGATACTTGTAGAGAATTACCTGAGTATTATATCACCACCTGGATGCTCAATCACATAATTGGTAACATCGTACACCTGAAAAGAGTATAAATCGTGTGAAAACAGGTTTATTGCAGAAAACATGACATACACCAATAGGTGCACAGCTGGGTTACAAAGATAGCAACCCTGTCCCGAAACAAATTACAATCTTGTTTGACTGCTATACTATAAGTGATATATATACAGTCAACCTCGCTTAATTCGTATCAGACGGGACCACAGCATTTTCTACGAATTACGTAATCAACGAATTAGACTTAATTCGTATTTTCCACGAATTCTATTTAATCCGTAGAAACCACGAAATAGATAACGATAAAACAACGATGAACGTAGATAACGTGTAAACAACGATTTATGAATGAAAGTTTAACATTGTAATAAAAAGATCTGTTTGTGCAATACAGATCTACATCATGTATGAAGATAATTATATTGAAGTTTACACACATTCTATATTGAGCAAATCTTGGTTAATTTTTATTTTATATCAAACTTGGACAAATACAGTACGCACGGTTCCACTTGCTATCACACAGAACGGTGACACAGCGAGCGGTTTATGTACAATTGACCCTTGGCAAAAGTTCACTCCCGAATCTTGTGCATGCTCAATGCGTAACTACGAACTGGCTTAATTGATTTTGTTGTTTTATTGATGTTGAGCGAGTGGCAAAGAGAATTATAAGTATTCTCAAAGATAAAATGTTGCTTGCATAAACAAACATCCCCTACGAATTGCGCGTGTCATTTTGAATTGAATAATGTTAATTGAAACACAGAATTTTGTACGAATTACGAATTACAGAATATGAATTATACAACGGAAATTAAAGGGAACAAGTCCCGCGGAGCGACAGTGCTCATCTAACGTCTACTGCGGTGACTCTGTGTACGTGGAGTGGTGGGATTCTAGTAAACCCTGTTAGTACCAAATGTGTTCACATACGCGCCGAAACAGTGGAAGGCACAGGGATAGTATCAGGAACCTTCTCAAAGGAATGTTCGTTGGGATCGTTATGAAAGTTGCCACGAGATGGCGCGTACGTTTAAGTGTCTTCAGTTTAAAGATGGAAGCTCCCATCGTACGTAGTAGCAACAACTATTTGCAAGACAGAATAGGTAAGCACTCATCCATTTACCTACGCAAGCCTACAGGCTGCAATAGAGAGCTGCCCCCTGTAACCAATTAACGCAGGCAAAAACTACACAGTATATCACCACTCACATGCACTGGCAGTGCCCACTGGCAGTGGCATAAGTTACATGTAACACACTGACAGTACAGAATGCCATAGAAATATATATGATTTAAGGAGCATAAACCTTCTTCAACTAAATTTAGCTTTTGAAATTTCACTGTGACATTGTAGCCTCATACATCCAGGCATGTATAGATTCTACTAGCAACCGGCAGTCAAATTCTTTCTAACAGTAAACAAATCCATGTTTAACCCTCCTCTTGAGGATCAAAAGGTTATCCGACACTTACTCTTCGCATGTGAGCATAAAGTACATTTCATGGTCCTTTCAATAAAACCATAAAAATGCTGGATCACGCTGAAACAAAAAAAGTTTTCAATTGCTCCGTCAGACCATGTCCTCAGAAAATATCTAAAATCTGAACTTTCCCCACTGCCCTTTGACCTGTGACCTCCAATTTCGCACAGGTGATAGGTTTCCTGCCCATCACACTATACACAGAATATTAAGAGCATAGGTCGAGCAGATTTGTGCCGCCATTCCGTATTTCCTCCTATACCTTAAGTTAAGGGGGAAATATTCCCCTCCGTTTACACATCTTGACCTTTGACCCTTGACCCCCAAATTGGTCATCCCGAGTCCTTTTCACGATCATTTTTAACAGGTTATCAAGACAACTTCCTTTTCAACACAAATTTTATGTATAAAAATAGAATACATAATTTTGCCATTGGATTTGGATTGCCAGTTTATTGCCCATGGATCTCAACCAATTTTCAGGGGTACTGCAACAAGCAAGTGGACAGCCACATATATGGCACTTTCTTTTTGTGATGTGCTGAGTTCCGTCTTGCACATTGTACAGTAAATGCATCCACATCAAGGTTCATTTATAGTGTGCCTACTCAGGAGAGTGGGAATGCTCTTTATACATAGAGGTCATATACACCTGGCATGCTTCTCGGTGTTGTGGAATACTCTCGTACAGCTAAATCTAGGCAGTACCACTACCATTCCAAGCATGCCCGTTACAGTACAGTATAGCATCAGAACCACCTCACAGTTGAGCTGATAGGGTCTATGTCTCCCTGGTACTGCCGGACACTGCGGCTGCTGTTGTCAATAACAATCAATAATATCAACAATCAACAATCAAAACAATAATGTCAGCAACAAATAACAGCAGTTAGTAGTAGCAACATTAGTAGCAGCAACAACATCAACAGCCGTAGTGTTCGGCAGTACCCGGGAGACATAGACCTTAATGTCGCGTTTACACTATCGATTTTTGTCAGCAAATCGTCCGAGTCGTGCAAAATAGAAACACGTTCTATTTCTCCAACTCGGCGAGCTTGACTCCGACTCCGACTCCAACACAATCGAATTTCAGCCGATTAGTTGAAATGCCCTTGGTCACGTCGGGGACAAGTTGGAATGCACTTGAAATCGCTACGATTTGCTGACAAAAATCGATAGTGTAAACGCAGCCGTTTGACTGGGGTAGGTTGGGCTTGAGGTACATAGTTCAATGTCCATTTCCTAGCAAAGTTCTTTGAACTCACGGGAGCTAAACGGTTGATTGTCAGATACAATAGTTTCCGGTATCCCGTGCCTCGCGAGAATGACTTGAGATGCATGATCACCTCACTTGCGCGGTTTTTCTCTCGAGTAGGCTGATTTCAGGGAACTTGGAGTAGTAGTCTACTACAACAAGATAGTCTTTTGCCCCATACTCAAACAAGTCCACACCGAGTTTTTTCCACGGTCTGTCTGGTATATCATGTGAATCAGGCGTTCCTTCTGCTGTCTCTTCTTGAAACGGTTGCACGTTTTGCACCTTGCTATGAAGTCTTCGATTGCTGATAGAATTCCAGGCCAGTAGATTGGTGTTACGCGCCCTGGGCTTGCATTTCTCCATCCGAGGTGACACTCATGCAGCAGTGTTGAGCATTTCCTTGCGCATTTCTCGAGCATTATGAGTCTTTCCCCATAGAATAGCAGGCCTCCTGCCTTGTACACCTCGTCACACGTATATTCAATATGGTCCGCGGTGACGGGAAGTGCTTGGGACCTCTGCCGCCATCCAGCATGAATGTGGACCTGAGTTCCCGAAGTCCGGGTCACTCGCGGGTTTCTGCACGAGTTGCTCACACTTCTGCTCACTCACGGATAGGTTTTCCACGAATGAGTGAACGCTGAACGTCCATTTCCTCATCGAGTTCACTGTCCTCATCATTATCCCTATCCAGGTATGCTCGTGCAGCTGTCGGCGATGTTACATGTATTTTGCCGGTACGTAAGGTGATGCTGATCTGATATCGCTGCAGTCTCAACAAGCATTCTTTGCAAACGCCAGGCGACACTTTCGCGAGGGTGTTTTTGATAATTCCTGTGAGCGTCTTGTGATCAGATTGCACTTCCACCTGCCTCGCGTAGACCGTATTGGTGAAATTCTCACAGGCAAACACTATTGCCAAAGCTTTTTCGATTTGAGCGTAGTTACACTTCTGCTGCCGTCGTGACCTAGACACATAGGCTACTGGACGTCCTGCAGGCAGGCATGCACCAAGCCCATCTGTGATCATGCGGCTTGAATTTTCACCGGTTTTTTCTGATCATAGTAGTGTAGTACGGGTGGCGCTAGTCAACTCGCCTTTGATGGCTTGAAAGGGCTTTCTCATGTGTCCGCGTCCCACACCCATGCATTATCTTTTCTTTAGCACATCTCTGAGCGGTGCCGTGATTTCAGCATGTTCGGAATAAACTTCGTGAGGTAGTTGAACATTCCTAAGAGTCTTTGGAGAGCTGGCTTGTCCGGTCGGAGTAGGCATGTCTTGCTATGGCTCGCAACTTCCGTCTCATCCGACTTGAGTCCTTCCGGAGTGATCACATTTCCCATGTACTCGACTGTATCCACCTTGAATTGCATTTTAGTGGGGTTGAATTTCACATTCTGTTCTCTTGCCCTTTCCAGCACTCCTCCTCCTGATCCTGTCATGCTCCTTGGGGTTTCAGCGGCGATAATCATGTCGTCGGCTTATGCATACACCTTTCACGTCACCGAACACTTGTTGGTTCCTCTTCTGGAATACTTCACTGGCTGAACAGATACCGAAAGGCATTCTCAGGAACCGGTATCGGAATATGGCGTATTGAACGTGCATAAGAGTGAGGATTCATGGTCGAGTTGCACCTGCCAGTAGCCATCTTTCTCGTCCAGGATCGTGAAGAATTTCTTGCCATGTAATTGTGCAGCAACGTCTTCTGGCGTAGGTATTTTGTAATGTTCTCGCCTTATGGCTGTGTTCAAATCAGCGATCTAGGCAGAGTCGTAGAGAACCGTTCTTTTTCTCCACTAATCACAAGACTGTTCACCCAGTCTGTGCTCCTCCACGGGGGTTATGACACCTTCTGCCTCCATTCTGTCCACTTCAGTTCCTGGGCGGGTGAACTACTGTTTGATGCTGGGGTCTAGCTAATCTTAATATGTTCCTTCAAATTTCCCCAGCCTTCAAACACATCCTCATATTATTTAATGACGTCATCTCTTGTGAGGGCTTTCTCCTCCATGACACTTTCTAGCCTCGGCAATAAGCTTCAAGTCCTGACACGATTTGAGACCCTAGTATTGGTTCAGAGTCAGTTTCCACTACATACAGCTCAAGTCTGTGTCACGTATTTTGGTAGAGATGCATCCAGCGCGTTGAAGTTTTAACCTCCATACGCAGATAGCACGGTTTGTGTCTTACGGAGACACGGTTTCACGTGTAGTTTCGGCGTAGTGTGTTCGTCGGCAACACATTTGCTTCAGCACCTGTGTCAATTTTGAA